TTGTATTTGCTAGTATCTCTCTCTCTCTCTCTCTCTCTCTCTCTCTCTCTCTCTCCCTTCCTCTACTTTAGGAAGGCGTAAATGGAAGGTATTCATCACTACACTGACAGGTTATATCATCAAGGGGTCGATTCTTTCTTCCCTCCCCTTCAATCACCTCTCACTTGTTCTCTGTCTCTCACTAGTTATCTCTCACTTGCCCTCTGTCTCTCACTAACCGCCTCTCACTTGCTCTCTATCTCTCACAAGTCATCTCTCACTTGCCCTCTGTCTCTCACTAGTTATCTCTCACTTACCCTCTGTCTCTCACTAGTTATCTCTCACTTACCCTCAGTCTCTCACTAGTTATCTCTCACTTGCCCTCTGTCTCTCACTAGTTATCTCTCACTTGCCCTCTGTCTCTCACTAGTTATCTCTCACTTACCCTCTGTCTCACTAGTTATCTCTCACTTACCCTCTGTCTCTCACTAGTTATCTCTCACTTGCCCTCTGTCTCTCACTAGTTATCTCTCACTTGCCCTCTGTCTCACACAATCACCTACGTTAATCTCCCATCATAAGATTGTATTTACATATCGGTGAACCTGTCGTCGTTATTGTTGTCGTTCTGATTGTTGCTGTTGTTAATACCGTTGTTGTTGTTGATGATGCTTCTGGTGTTGTTCTTGCTAATATAAATGTAATTGTTATTGTAATTGTTCTTGTAATTGTTATTAATGAACGTAATTATCATTCACGTTATCAGGATGTAAGTGTTATTGTTGTAATTATCAATGTAATTTAATTGTTATGTTGACGTATATGTTGTTTGATATTTATTTATCTTTCCAACTTTATGTCTTTCTTTGTGTTTGTTTTCTAATCTATATATATTTCTTTTCCACTTCTTCTTTTGTCATAAATCAATTATCCTTCTTCTTCTTCATCATCATCTCTCTCTCTCTCTCTCTCTCTCTCTCTCTCTCTCTCTCTCTCTCTTAATCTCTTTTTTTCGTCTCTCACTATATCATCATATTTCTCTCCTCCCTTCCTTCATTCTCACGTTCCTTCCTCTCCTCTCCCCCCCTTCCTTCCCTCCCCTCCTTCCTCCTTACTTCCCACCATCCTCCCAAATTTTCAGTATATCATAATGAGTGTCTCAACAAACTTCAGCCTCGAGTTCCCTCCCCCCCTCCATCCCTCCCTCCCTCCCTCCCCTCCATCCCCTTCTCCTCCCTCCCTCCCTCCCTCCATACAAATCTTCCTTCCAGCAGCTTCCCAAGACCATTATAATCAATGTCTCCATAAACTCCAGGTTCTCGCAATCCTCCTCCAACCTTCCCTCCACCACCAACCTTCCCTCCACCACCAACCTTCTCCACCACTAACCTTCCCTCCAACACCAACCTTCCTCCACACCAACCTTCCCTCCACCAACCTTCTCCACCACCAACCTTCCCCTCCACCAACACCAACCTTCCCTCCACCACCAACCTCCCTCCTCCACCAACCTTCCCTCCACCACCAACCTTCCTCCTCCACCAACCTTCCCTCCCACCAACCTTCCTCCACCACCAACCTTCCCTCCACCACCAACCTTCCCTCCTCCACCAACCTTCCTCCTCCACCAACCTTCCCCTCCACCACCAACCTTCCCTCCATCCCTCTAAACTTACAACAGCCTCTCAAGCATAGTATAATCATGTGTCTCTGTAAATTCAACCTCTTCTACATTCCCTCCTTCTCACCCCCCCTCCCCCCCTCCCTCCCTCCCTAGCCAGCTCAAGGAGTTATATACACCATCTTGGTTCAGACTATCCAGGAGTAAAAAAAAAAAAAAATAAATATCGTGTCGCCGCCGAATATCGAAAACTTTCCCAGCGAGATGAGATCACCTTAATGAATTCCAGCGACGACACGAAATTCCATCATTTCTCCCCAGGCATATCGAGACGTTCTAGTTTAAAGGACCTTCTGGGACAGGGTTTATATTGGCCTAATATTCAACTTGTGTCAGTCCAAGCACTCCGGGAATAAGCCTGCAGTTTGCAATAAGCTGTTTGGATATAACCCAGCTTAAAGGGGGAGGGGGAAGGACCAGGTTGTTGGGAAGGGTTTGCTGGTGTCGTTTCAATCTCGTGACGTCAACGAGGAAGATGAAGATGGGTCTTGTTTAGGTTATATCCGCTTACTCTTGATACCTGAAGGGTAATTTTTGACCAACTCATAAGCTCTCCACTACTACTACCAGCACCACCACCAGCAGCAGCAGCAGTCTTTCCGGTAATGCAGTTTATAATACAGGTTCACTGAGTAGAGGAGGGAGGGAGGGAGCAGGGGATGGGACCTTATTGAGGGAAGTAATAGTGTCGAGTTTGGAGATTAATTTCGCTCCTTCAGGTAAAGAGATAATTTTCCCCATAAGACGTAAGAAGATGATGTTGATCTCCTCTCATAATGGGACTTGTAGATTTATTTTTCATTTAAGTTAATACAGTGAATCTTGGGAAGAATTTATTTTTTTTTTTCTGAAGACTTGTTTTGTTTAGTGAATATGGGAAACGTGAGTGTGTATGTATTTGTGTAAGTATACGTGTATAATCTTGTGTGAGTGTGTGTATTCGAGTTTATTCTCTAACATGTACGTGTGATCATGTAAGCCTATGTTCGTGTACGCGTGTACATATGCGTGAACAAGTCCATTACCTGCGCTGTTCACTCCCACATATTAACACATACAACATAACACATAAAACATATTAATCCAGCAGGAGGAAGACACACGGCAGAAAACTAACCTTATCAACAAAACTTATCCAGTAATGTTTTAACAAGGAAGTGAATATAAATGAAGAATTAAAACTTATGAAGTCATTATTCAGCCAATAATGTAGAGATAAACCTCGTAATAATATCAGATGCACACCGCTTCCTCGCATGTTAATGGCGGTAAACTTCCCAGTAATTTAGTCTCATTCACGTTAGGTTTCCGACGTAAAAACTGGTACTGTGTTAATACTCTTCAGGTTAGGGTACTCGGAACTCCTACAGGTTATTCACACTGCTTGCAATATTGCAGAGCGCTATACAAATGTTGATGTCGGTAAATGTAAACTAGCATGCAGTGTTGCCTCGTATATGTATACATCACACAAAACAGTTGCTGAGAATGTATACACAACATCTTTAATCTTGCCTTGACTCATGTTTGCCAGACCTGCGCCTCCAAGGATCTGCATTAAGAAAAGTTCAAATATTTGTGTTTTTTCTTGCGTCTCCCAGATGGACGCATTAGCAAATTTGTTGACCTGACGGATAAATAGCAATGTTTTAAGAGGATTATCTGAGGAAATTAGCACAGTGGTCGTGTGTCTCGGAGCTCGCTGCACCAGGTGCCTCCCTGGCCAACCTCTCCACCAACGTCTTAACTTCGCTCAACCTGTCTTAAGAGCACTCCACTCTTGGTTCTCCACTCTTGGCACTCTACTTAAAGCACTCAACTCTTGGCACTCTACTTAAAGCACTCAACTCTTGGCATGGCGAATAATTATGTGTACGAACATCCTAACACAAGCAACTCGAGACTAGACCATCAGAAACTAGATTAAGTAAACACGAAGAGAACTTACACCCAACGAAATACATTTTTACTCCCAAACCTAACCTAACCTAACCTAACCTAACCTAACCTAACCTAACCTAACCTAACCTAACCTAACCTAACCTAACCTAAGCTAACGTAACCAGGACGCATTGTACAGTCGATCAAGCTGAAACTGAGTCATTATTGGCAGCGCTTCAGGTGCACAGAACGTGATAGTCAGTACTTGTTCGGGATTAAGCCAAGCCTTACGTAATACAAGCTAATGAAATCTATTCTCAACCAGCTTGACCTTATTTGGAATCCTCGAGGTAAGGTCAAGTCACTGTGGTTAAGGTCAAGGCGGTAATGTAATACGTTGTGGCTTGTATATTTCCAGTGTTTTCTTTGGTTGAAATATATCGGCTTTATATATTGATACACCTATAATATTACCTGATCAGGGCCTCAAAATCCTATACTGGCAAGGTTCGGTTCGGTCTAGTGTTATTTGAGTAAACAGTGTGTGTGTGTGTGTGTGTGTGTGTGTGTGTGTGTGTGTGTGTGTGTATGTGTACCCACCCACACCCACACATATATACACAACGGTGAAAACGAGAGAAATATATGTACTCTAAATTTTATTGACGCTCCGTTGATTGGTCCAAATCCATAAACGCCTGAATCCGTGGAATTATTGGTTTGGTGTTTAGATTCTCAATTGTTTTTAATTCCGCGGCTGTTTTTATTGCCATGATTGTTGATAGAAGGGCTTTTTTTTATATGAACACTAAATGGTGGAGGGGACCAATCAGAACGTCAGGTAGTGGGGATATCATTTTATGTGTAGTTTGTTATTATATGTTACTGGTGAGTAGTGATATATTGCTGTGTGGTTGTTTAGTGATCACTTTTATGTTGTGGACGAGATATGAAATGTAACTCTTTTTTTTTTAATGTTGCTTTTGAAATATTGTCAATGGGAGATAAAACACACACACAGACACACACACACACACACACACACACACACACACACACACACACACACAGACATACACACACGCAATAAAAACATTCATACAGCAGGTAAACATCCTCATTTATGTGTTTGCATTTAAATGAATGAAGGAAATATACCAAAATATCCATAATTGCTTTGTAAAAGTTAAAAGCCCCCGAGAGGACCAAAATACAACCCATTATCCTGGATTATACAATATATTATACACTAATTACACCCCCGCTATGGTCACGCACTCCTGTTCTTTTTGCGCGCGCTAAATTTATGTCCCGCCAAGAAGGGTGTGTTGCGAATTACCTGCTAATATTTTTAGTTAGTTCTTTATGCGTTATTGTTATTGTTATTGCTATTAGTATTCTTATTGCTATTTATTATTATTATTATTGAGACCAAAGGTGTATAAATCCTGGAAGTCTTTTAAGTCAATTTTTTTTGTGTACCGTCGCTGTTAATATCATAATGTTTGAGATTCCAGCTAGGTGTGTTGGCTCCAGGTTCACGAGGACTCTGTATGCTAACTTTGTCTCCTAACTGGTGTTGAGAGAACGTGTCTTGTTACGGGAGAGTCTCAATGTATATTAATAGTATCCTCTAACTAGTGTTATTGTAATAGGTGGTACTAAGTTAAGGTTCACTGTGGCTTTGACGTCATTTTGAGTTATATATAGTTAATTACATTCTTATATTCATAGTTAGGAGGGGAATTATTCGCGTAATTCTTTGGGAATCTGTGTTTGGTTTTACCTGGCCTTTACCTGAAGGGTATTTGAGGGGATTTCCCAAAAATTTAGCTTGATCACCTGTTTATCTGCACTTAACATGAATCTTCAAAAGAACATGTATACTCTTGTTCTTAAATCCTTCAATTGTTCATTATGTTAGAGATTCATCATTTTGTGTGTGTGTGTGTGTGTGTGTGTGTGTGTGTGTGTGTGTGTGTGTGTGTGTGTGTGTGTGTGTGTGTGTGTGTGTGTGTGTGTGTGTGTGTGTGTGTGTGTGTGTGTGTGTGTGTGTGTGAGTGTGTGTGTACGTGTGTGTGTGTGTGTGTGCTCCCTCTCTCCACTAGGTAGGGCGGTGGTGGCTCAATCCGGTGTTATCTTTAAGTTACAAGCCGCCCTGACCGACCTCCCTGTGCTGGTCAGGAAATAATTGAAACTTCCCACTTGGCGTTGCTTTCTAGAACTCTAAAATGATTGAAAATTTCGCTGTCTCCTTTTAATGCATTGTCGATGAGTTAGGAAAATAAATGAAACTTTCTATTATTTATGCATTCTCTATCAGGAAAATATGTGAGACTTTCTCTTGCTTTCTCTCGGCGTTGTTGTTCCTGCTGATCGAGTGTGAGGGAGTGATATAAATTTTCCTCATATATTTCCTGCCATTGGAAAGTAAGGGTATTGAAGCTTTCTCTTTCCGGTTTCTTTCTCGTATTCTATCACACACACACACACACACACACACACACACACACACACACACACACACTCTCTCTCTCTCTCTCTCTCTCTCTCTCTCTCTCTCTCTCTCATGGTATTGGTTTACTTCAAAGGTGAGAAAGTATATTACAACTTACGAAAGTGAGAAAACAAGAAAACTTTTACTTTCTTAGTTGCTGTTTTTACCTTTCAAAAGAGAGAGAAACTTAATGAAGCTTTCACTCATTATTGCTGTCTCCAGACTTTCTTTCCCTCGGTATTTCTATTCCTCTAAAATAAGGGAAAATAAATGAAAGTTTATTCCGCTCGCTTTCTCCGTTCTAGACCAACTCGCTGGAAATTGACTCTCGCTTGCTGCATTTCCTGGACTTTCTCTCAATCGGTGTTTCTAGCCTCCCAAATGAAACTAAATAAAGGAAAACAAAATAATATTAGTTCTATCCCATCAAGAACACAACTTTCACTTGTAACTCTCTCAAGACTTTCTCCCCCTGGCTGTTTTCTATTTATTGAGAGTGAACTAAATAATATAAATGGATCATACAGGCGAATAACATATACATCCCCCCTGTGTTATTACCATGTAGGGGCTCGGGGAATGATTAATTGAGAGGTGGAGGTGAACTGATTGGCTCTACAGACCAAAGATATCGAGTCCAGCCGCCAGGTACATGTTTCCTTCTTCCCCTCAGTGACACACAACAGGCAGCAGGGGCAAGACACAGTATTAACCAGTAGTAGATATAACAGTTATCTCAGCAGACAGCAGTAGTAGAAACAACACTAACAAAAATAACAGCAGGGAAAACTATCACAACAGAAGCAGAAACAGCATTAACAGCAACATATATATATCAGTTATATCAGCAGACACAGCAGTAGTAAAAACAGCACTAACAAAAACAATAGCAGCAACAGCAGAAGGAACTATCATACAATGTTAATCGCAGCAGGAGCAGACACAGCATTGACAGCAGTAGATATAGCAGTTATTTCAGCGGCACGACCACCTAAGACCTCCTGTAGCATCATCGTCTTGCAGCTTCCAGGGAGGACAACTAAAAGGTCGAGAGAGAGAGAGAGAGAGAGAGAGAGAGAGAGAGAGAGAGAGAGAGAGAGAGAGAGGAGAGAGAGAGAGAGAGAGAGAGAGAGAGAGAGAGAGAGAGAGAGAGAGAGAGAGGACACACATGGAGTTTAATTATCTCACGGCTTTTCTTGGATAGAAAGGAGGGAAAAGTCAAAGGATATTCAGGAAATGGAAGGTGAGAAAGTCTAGGCATGTCAGCGAGAGAGAGAGAGAGAGAGAGAGGCAGAGAGAGAGAGAGAGAGAGAGAGAATAAACATGCACTTTAGTACAAATCTTCCTCTGTTATTAATTATCTTTATTTAGTGTTTTTCGTCTTTTTCTATTTAATCTAGAAAGAAAATACCTGAGGAATCTCAATGGACTCTCTACTCCTCAATATCCTGAATAATTTTAAATTTCGGGGCGGGGAGAAGGGGGTAGAAGGAAGAGAGGACAGGAGAACAGGAGGGACTTGGACGACGGACAGGAGGAATGCGGAAGGAGGAAGAAGTAGGGAGGAAAGGCAGGAAGAGAACAGGAAGAAAGAAAAAGGCAAGGAGGATATTGGAGAAGGAGGAGGAGGAGGAGGAGGAGGAAGAGGAAGGATTAGATAAGAAGACAAGAAGAGAAGGAAAGGGAGGAGAATGGGGGAGAAAAAGGAGAGGAAGGCAGGGGGGAAAGGGTGAGAGGGGGGGGGGTGACGGAAGAAGAGTTAGAGGAGAGCGGGAGGAGAGGAGAAGGAAAGGCCGAGAGGAGAAGACAAGAACGAGAACGAGAGGAGGAAGAAAAAGAAAAAATAGACAATAAGAAGGTATGAGAGCGGGAGCAGAGTGAGAAGAGGGCGGGAGGAGCAACAGGAGGAGAGCGTGAAGAGACAAGGGGCCTAAAAAAAACTCCTTCAAGTCAGCAGTAACAGTTATTCCCTCGGCTGTGTGTTAATCCTCCCTACAGTATGTTTAAAAGGATCCCAGGCAGGAGGCACTCTGGGGGATCCTGTGTGTTAATGCCATTGAAAATAAGTGAAAATATCCACTCAGATTATTTTGGTTTAGGTTTTTATATCCAGGGATTAGGTTCAGCTTTATTTATGTACCTCGAGATTTGAGATAGTTAGTATTTCCCTCTTCTTTCCCCCTCTCTTGTTTCCCCCCTCTCTTGTTTCCCCCTCTCTTGTTTTCCCCCTCTCTTGTTTTCCCCTTGTTTTCCTTGTTTTCCTTGTTTCCCCCTCTGTTTTCCTCTCTTCTTGTTTTCTCTCCCCTTTGTTTTCCCTCTGTTTCCTGTTTTCCCCCTTGTTTTCCCTCTTGTTTTCCTCTTGTTTTCCCTCTTGTTTTCCCCCTTGTTTTCCCCCCTTGTTTCCCCTCTCTGTTTGTTTCCCCTTTGGTTTTCTCTTGTTTCCCCTCTTGTTTCCCCCATTGTTTCCCCTTCTTCCTCTTGTTTCCCCCTCTGTTTCCCCCTCTTGTTTCCCCCTCTCTTGTTTTCCCTTCTTGTTTTCCCCTCTTGTTTCCTCTCTTGTTTTCCTTGTTTCCTCTTGCTTCCTTGTTTTCTCTCCCTCTCTTGTTTCCCCTCTTGTTTTCCCTCTTGTTTTCTCTTGTTTCCCCTCTTGTTTTCCCCTCTCTTGTTTCCTCTTTGTTTTCCCTCTCTTGTTTTCCCCCTTGTTTCCTCTTGTTTCCCTCTTGTTTCCCCTTTTCTCTTGTTTCTCCCCTCTCTGTTTCCCTCTCTTGCCTCTCGTTTCCCCCTTGTTTTCCCCTCTCGTTTTCCTTGTTTTCCCCCTCTTCTTGTTTTCTCCCCCTTTCTCTTGTTTTCCTTGTTTCCCCTCTTGTTTTCCCCCCCTCTTGTTTTCCCCTCTTGCTCTCTTGTTTCCCTCTCTTGTTTCCTCTCTTGTTTCCCCCTTGTTTCCTTGTTTCCTCTGTCTCTTGTTTCTGTTTCCCCTCTCTTGTTTCCTCTCTGTTTTCCCCCTCTTGTTTTCCCCCCTTGTTTTCCCTCTCTTGTTTTCCCCCCTCTCTTGTTTTCCCCCTCTTGTTTCCCCCTTGTGTCCCCTCTTGTTCCTTGTTTCCCCTCTCTTGTTTCCTCTTGTTTCTTGTTTCCCTCTTGCTTCTTCTGTTTTCCCCCTCTTGTTTTCCCCTCTCTTGTTTCCCCTCTCTTGTTTCCCCTCTCTTGTTTCCTCTTGTTCTCCTCTCTGTTTCCCCCTCTCTGTTTCCCCCCTCTCTTGTTTCCCCCTTGTTTCCTCCTTGTTTCCTCTTGTTTCTCTTGTTTCCTCTCTTGTTTTCCCCCCTTGTTTTCCCTCTCTGTTTTTCCCTTTGTTTCTCTTGTTTCCCCCTCTTGTTTCCTCTGTTCCCCCTTGCTCTCTTGTTTCCCCCTCTTGTTTCCTCTTTCTTTGTTTCTTGTTTTCCCCTTTGTTTTCCCCCTTGTTTCTCTCTTGTTTTCCCCCTTTGTTTTCCTCTTTGTTTCCTTTCCCCTCTGTTTCCCCTTGTTTCTCTCTCTCTTGTTTCCTCTTGTTTCCTCTCCTCTTGTTTTCCTGTTTCCCTCTCTGTTTTCTTTCTCCCCCTCCTTGTTTTCCTTGTTTTCCCCCTTGTTTCTTCCCCTCTTGTTTCCCTCTCTTGTTCCCCCTCTCTTTGCTTCCCCTGTTTCCCCCTCTGTTTCCCTCTTGCTTCCCTCTTGTTTCCCCCTCTCTCTTGTTTTCCTTCCTCTGTTTCCCCCTCTCTTGTTTTCCCTCTTGTTTTCTCCCCCTCTCTTGTTCTTGTTCCTCTCTTGTTTCTCTTGTTTTCCTCGTTCTACTCTTCACAGTTTTAATATAAGAGAAAAAATCCAACAACACTTGTGTATAGAGATCATAGCCGGAATTATACCTAGAAAATCCTACTTAGTATTTAATTCCTTTCTCTCTACTGATTAATTGTCTTAAACTTCTGGATATTTAAATTAATCCCTTTTATTTACACATGTGATTAAAATAGAATAAAAATGCATAAAAATCCACGTAGCGCCTAGGAAAAATATTCACCAAATCTTAAGCTTCGTGTTTTTTCTTAATATTATATGAGCCAGAAGAAGTTAATATATTTAAATAACGGGAGATCTGAGTTACCCCATTTTTTTGTTTTTTTTTATGAGTTTGAGGTATTAGTAGCAGAGTTCTTTACTTTGTCCTCCTCTCTCTCTTTTTCTCTCTCTCACTTCGTCATTTTCTCTCTCTGTCTCCGTCTCCCTCTCTTTATCTGCCTTTTTATATCTCTCTCTCTCTCTCTCTCTCTTACAAGAGCTTCATAGATTAATTTAAATTTTTTTTTCATTGCCAAGAAAAACAACTTGAAATACCGTGGGCGTAACATTTCATTCTTGATCTGAAAGTAAATGCCCTCTCTTCTTTACTCACAACTTTGATGTCAGAAAATAATTTATAATTCTGTCTGATGTTCACTACTTCTTCAAGGTGGAAAGTTGTTGAGATCTTTCTGTTTGTCACCGTCTCCATTTTTCTCTTTCTCAGTGTCACCCATCTCTCTCACTCACTCTTTCTCAGTGTCACCCATCTCTTTAACTCTCTCTTTCTCAGTGTCACCCATCTCTTTCACTCTCTCTTTCTCAGTGTCACCCATCTCTTTCACTCACTCTTTCTCAGTGTCACCCATCTCTTTCACTCACTCTTTCTCAGTGTCACCCATCTCTCCACTCATCGCTGTCTCAGTTTTTTTTTCTCCCTCTTGTTTTTTCTCCTCTGCCTCTGTCTTTTCACCCTTTTCTATATTCCGTGTCTTTCACTCTTTTCTTTCCTCAGTGCCGCCTGTCTCTCTCTCTCTCTCTCTCTCTCTCTCTCTCTCTCGCTCAGCAACGCCTCTCGGAGATATGCTAACTAATGCATCTTGCCTACATCGTGCATTGTAACTTTCGACTCAGAGTTTAATTTTAGAAACTCAGAGAAGGAGGAAGAAAGTAAAAGAGAAAAAGAAAAAATAAGAACATTTGAAAAAATATATCTCTTTGTTCTCTCTATCCGCCTGTATCTCTTTCTCTCTCTCTAAATATACATCTCTCTTTCTTTATCTTTCTTCCTCACTTTCACTACTTAAAATAACATGTGAAAGCAGCTACAAGTGAAAGTTTTATTTAGTTTCTTTACTTTCGAAGAGAAAAGAAATGTCTTTATATAACAAGTGAAAGCGACAACAAAGGAAATTTCTAATAATTCTAACTATCTGTTTTCTTTTCAGGCGTTCATTACTCTCTCTCTCTCTCTCTCTTTTTTAGGTCGTGCACATATTGATGACATAATTTTTCTTTCCACTTTCTCTTTCACTTAAATCTTTAGGCTGTATTTCTTTTCTGGTCATTTATCACTTCTTGTCTTATCCCCGGGGAGAGAGAGAGAGAGAGAGAGAGAGAGAGAGAGAGAGAGAGAGAGAGAGAGAGAGAGAGAGAGAGAGAGAGAGAGAGAGAACAGCTTTCGTAAACTTTGCTCTCACTCTGCTTTCTATTAACCCATTTCTCACTCAAATTTCCCTTCGCTTTTATTCTCTCAATTTTCTCTTCTCCAACTTTGTCATATTTTTCTTGTATTTGCTTTTCATTTGTAATTCACTTCCATCTAAATTCTTTGTTTTCGTTTTTATTATTTACTTGTATTGTTATTTCATTTAAGATTACGGTTTTCTTTCTTCTAATTAACACTTACATTTATCATTTTTTTCTTTACTTTGAAGTCACACATTAATTCCATCATAGATTTTATTAATTAAGTAAATAATATATGTGTATATGAACAATTGCAAACCTATGCATAAAACTATGTATATTCAGAAAAACATACACAGAAATATGAACATCTGGTAAGGCATACATAAGAGATATGTATACTTAGGATAATATTCATAATCGTATTGAGAAAAAATGTAGATGAATACATTTTATTTTTGCGTGTTTAAAATGAAAAATATACGTAGAGTTTATAATGATTCTAACATGAAAAACACTTCATATTTTCAGTGCCTTCAGGGTAGCTACAGCGCACAATTTTTCTCCACTTGTTTACCGCCATAATGGAGATATTCCACGTATGTAGACACAGTCACAGACAAACACACACAAGCCATCCAATATGTATGTGTCAACGAGCGCGACACATGGTGGAGGGGGGGAAGGTGGAGGGGGGGGGGGAGGGGAAGGGAGGGGGGGGGAAGGTGGAGGTGGGGGTGAGGGAAGTGGAGGGGTGGATAATAAAACTTGCAGGAGACAGTGACTCCCCTGACGCGACCCCCCACACCCGCTGTGTTTGTATCTCAGTCGCTTTGATTATGAACATGACCCCAGTGGCCATGTTTACTGTTGATGTTTTCATTATAAACATAGCCAGAGGAGCATTGTTTATGGATTTACATTATTTCTATTATTATAAACATGGACTAGCGATGACGTTTTTTGATGTATATAATTTATATATTTATTATGGGAAGTAGATAGTGGTAATGTTTATACTTTGCTCGCTTTGATTATAAACAGAGAGAGAGAGAGAGAGAGAGAGAGAGAGAGAGAGAGAGAGAGAGAGAGAGAGAGAGAGAGAGAGAAAAGGTCCTCTATTGGGGAGATTGTGAACGTTTCTGGGGTGAACAATGTGATATCTTGGGCTGACAGAACGTGACAGGAGAGGTAAAGTAGGAAGGGAAGGAAGGGAGAAAACGTAGATGGGGGAAAAAGTAAGGGAAGGGAGTGTGAAGGAAAATTAAAGGAGGGTTAAGTGAAGGAGAGGAGAAGAAAGGATAGAGTTAGGGAAATAAAGAGAGGGAAAGGGAGTGAGTTGGGGGAAAGTACAGAGAGGAAAATGAAAGCAGAAAAGAAAGACAGAGAAAAATGTAAATATAAAAAAAAGAGAGACAGGCTAAAATAGAAATAGAGAGAGAGAGAGAGAGAGAGAGAGAGAGAGAGAGAGAGAGAGAGAGAGAGAGAGAGAGAGAGAGAGAGAGAGAGAGAGAGAGAGAGAGAGATTAATAGCCAGACAAATAGTTCATACCAACGAACCAAAAAGAAAAAAAATATATAAAGAAAAAAGGGAAAAACAAAACAAAAATGGATGAAGGACGAATCACAAGTCACGAGGGAAGCAGAAAACTTTGTCTAGGAGAGAGAAAAACGCCTTGAGTAAGCTAAGAAAAAGGAGAAATATTGATATGTATGTGTAGGTGGTGGGTCTACACACACACATACACACACACACACACACACACACACACACACACACACACACACACACACACACACACACACACACACACACACACACACACACACTACTTGAAAAGAAAATCATGAAGGAAAGAAAGCAGTGGAAATATAAAACAACCTAGAAGAGAGAAAGTATAGAGTAACCTAGAAGAGAGAAAGCAGTGAAAGCAGTGAAAGTATAGAAGTAAAGTAAAGAAGAGACAAGAACTATTAAATCACGATGAGGAGAGAAAGGGAAATCCTCCCAAACTATAAAATTAAAGGAATGGCCGAACCTGGCGACGATAACACTGAAGAAGGAACTGTAAAACTGTGGGAGGGAAGGACCTGATGACCTGGGAGTGTGAGACCTGGGACCTGGGAATGTGAGATCTGGGAGTATAAGACGAGAGATCTAGGAGGGAATGACCTGGGACCTGGGAGTGTGAGACCTGGGAGTATAAGACGAGAGATCTAGGAGGGAATGACCTGGGACCTGGGAGTGTAAGACCTTGGAGGAAATGACCTGGAACCTGGGAGTGTGAGACCTTGGAGGAAATGACCTGGGACCTGGGAGTGTGAGACCTTGGAGGAAATGACCTGGGACCTGGGAGTGTAAGACCTTGGAGGGAATGACCTGGGACCTGGGAGTGTGAGACCTGGGAGGGAAATACCCAGACTCTGGGGAGGTGGAGACCTGGAGAGGAAATGACCTGAGACCTAGGAGGTGAGACCTGGGAGGGGAACACCACCTGGAGACTCAGGAGGTGAGACCTGGGAGGGGAAAAACACCTGGGATCTGGGGAGTGTGAGACCTGGGAGGGAAATACCTGTGACCTGGGAGTGTGAGACCTGAGAGGAAAACACCTGAGACCTAGGAGTGTGAGACCTGGGAGGGAAATACCTGTGACCTGGGAGTGTGAGACCTGAGAGGAAAACACCTGAGACCTGGGAGTGTGAGACCTGGGAGGGAAATACCCAAAAGAAAAATATACCTATAAGAAACGCTCTAGAATATACCTCCTTAAAACCCATAAAAAAGGCAAAAAATAAACACCTAAAACACCAACAACAAAATAAACCCATAAAAATAAACCTACATAAATAAACACCATATAAAACAAAAACAAAACTAAACCTATAAAAATTAATCCATAAAAATAAACCTATAAAAAAAAATAAAAATAAAATAATAAACCAATAAAAACAACAACAATATAAACCCATAAATACACAAAAAAAATAAACCGGTACAGTATAAAACAGGAAAAGAAAAAGAGTGAGAGACAAAAGCCCCACCGCCGCCCCCCACCAGTAGCCAGGGAGCACTGAGGCTGAAGTGAAGCATCCCAGTGGTTTTACAAATCGGGCAGGACCACACATCGGCCTCCGCGTCTGCCTAAAATGACCCACCAATTTCTACTTGTCTTGGGCCTTGATCTGGTTACTGTGTCATCCAGGGCCAGCAAATATAGCCCCACACTCTCTCTCGCAGCTTTACATTTGTCCTCCTCTGGGATATTTGGCTCCAACGCACCTCCTAGAATCTCTTGTCAAATGTTTCTCTCAGTGCAACTACCACTTTCCAGAGTTTGGGTAAATACACTCATAGGGTCTTTTAGTAGCCAGGAGCTTCATACATACTGACACATACACACACTCACACACACACACACACACACACACACACACACACACACACACACACACACACACACACACACACACACACACACACACACACACACACACACACACACACACACACACACACACACACACACACACACACACACACACACACACACACACACACACACACACACACTCTCTCCACACTCTCTCTTGCAGTTTACATTCACCCTTCTGGCAGGTGCCCAACCTCACCTCTCGTACGTTTGAAAAGAAAAAAAAAAGTACATCTCAATGTTTGGTAAACTCGATACACTCACGCACGCAATTTTCCAGAGTTTGGGAAAACGTATTCTCAGGAACACCCAGGGCACGGGACCACCTAGGAGTTTGAGGAAGGTACTCTCAGGCAACACTCAGACCCTAGGAGGTTGGAGATGTCGCTCTCAGGTAACATTCACCCACTGGGAGGTTGGGGCAGGCATTCTCAGGCAACACTCAGACCCAAGGAGGTTGAGATGTCGCTCAGGTAACATTCAGCCACTGGGAGGTTGGGGCAGGCATTCTCAGGCAACACTCAGACCCTAGGAGGTTGGAGATGTCGCTCTCAGGTAACATTCAGCCACTGGGAGGTTGGGGCAGGCATTCTCAGGCAACACTCAGACCCCCGGAGGTTGGAGATGTCGCTCTCAGGTAACATTCAGCCACTGGGAGGTTGGGGCAGGCATTCTCAGGCAACACTCAACCCTTGGGAGGTTAGGCAGGCAGTCTCAGGAAGGAAAATGATGTAAAGGATGTTAGCCACAGTAAGACGGGTGAATCCCGATGAGGCGGACCAAACTGTGTTAGT